TTTTGGGCCTATTTTGTTTGGGTTTGGGATTGGGCTTTGTTTTGGCCTTTTCCTTGTATGTTTGGGAAAAAGGTATTTGGTTTTCTGTTTGGGATTAGGAGAAGAGTTCTATAAATACTCTTCATCATCCTAGTCTGTAGTAAGGTCAGTCAGGTTAGTTTGTTTGGTTTGTCCGTTTGGAATTTGGTTTGTAACCTATACTCTCCTCAAATCAGTGAAATTTGTTCCCCCCTGCCCGTGGATTAGCTAGCACACATTGTGTTAGTGAACCACGTTAAATTTGTGTTCGTTTGTGCTGTTTTGGATTATCGATTGCACGCTTTTGTTCTGACAGTTGGTTTTCACTGCTTCTCTACTCGGACCCATGGTGGGCGCCAATTGTTTGAGCCTAACTGAGTGTAGGAGTGAGACTCGTGAAAGTGGGGAGAGAAGAGCAAGCGAGGTGAATCTCCAATCTGTTAATGGCTGGAAGTTTAAGAGAGTAGGGATGAGAGAACGAGATTTCTAGTGAGATAAGTGGTTTTATATTAGTGAGCGAATCCAAAAACCGACTCCCTACCTACCGTAGTAAATGCCCCTTTTATAGTACATTACAGTGAGTGGATATTTAATGCGACAAGACCATTACGTGTGTCAGAAGCTTAGGCCATGCTTTAGGTAGGTCATGCTTTAGGTCATAATTATTCCTAGGACCAGGACTAGGATGTGACCCTTCCTTCGTAGGCTGCGGCACCGTTTTCTCGGCTTTCTTTCCCAGTTCGGATTAACCAAAATGACGACGGCTTGGGCAGGACCAAAACGATGCTGGTTTTGGTGAAGCGAAACGACGCTGGTTTTGGTGAAGCGAAACGACACCGGCTTGGTCTAGACGAAACGGCGCCGCCTGGTGCTTCAGTCATTCGCGGTCGTGTCTTTACTCGCGGGTGGTTCGCTCGGCCATCTTACTCGCGCGACTGGATTCCAACTACATCCCCAACAGTATTCAATAATATCGATTGGGATACCGAGATACCAATTGCGAGACCGAAATATTTAGGGATTGGGATACCGAAATTATTTAGGGATTGGGATTGATTCTCGGGGATAATTCGGTATTCGGGATTGAGATACTGATATCGTTCCGATTTCTACCCCTAATTATAACCAACTAGGCTACATTTTATTTATTGTTATTTCTTTGACTAACCAACTGAGTCGTTAGTGTTAATGCAGACCCAGCTTTGCGTCGGTGGTTGCCAGCCAATGTGACGCTGCTCTCGGAGTCCCTCATCCCCGAAAATGATCCTCTCCTTTTCCAAAGACTTCAAAATCTGATCACGAAGTTCTCTTGACTGGAACTGGGTTTGTGTATGGGTCTTCAACTCACCCCGGAACAAAAAGCCATTCCTGTTATTCCATAGAAGCCAGCACATCAGAGTGTGTTGTCCAGGATTTTGGTGCATCTCCTTCCTTCCTTTCACTATTTTTATGAGGGTTGGGAAGTTTGCAGCCCAACTTCACGGTCGCAATCTATGAGTTGCAGCCGCGATCTTCTTTGCGTGCTCGGATGAAGAGGGTCGTGAGTGGACTATCAATACTCTATGCTCCTTCCTTATTGGCTGCTCCAAAAGTTCACCCTTGAGGTCTCAATCTTCGCGATCGTGATCTTGACACTGAAGGTTGTGATCTCAATGCTCAAATTCGAGTCCTTAGTTCTCAATCGTGATCAATCACGCCCTGGCCTTGATCTTCTGTTTTTGCACATTTCTCTATACTTGTGCCCTCTTTTGATACCTAAAACAATTATATCATCTAATAAAACCTAAAATGCTAATATTTTCTCCGAGGAACAAATAAAAGGTATATTTAACGATATATAGACAATGAAGACCATGAAATGACTCAAAATGGACATAAATATGAGTGTTATCAACTCTCCCACACTTAGGGAATTGATGATATAAATAATAGATGAACAAATAATCTCGAATACATTATAAGTTTTATAACATCTAAGATAAAAGCATCGATGAACCATAGCATTTAATGAAAAAGACATCTCATTAAATCATAGAAAGACACATGATAAACCATAGAGTGATGGTAAAAAGGTGTGATTTAAAGGTATAACCTATGCCTCTATTTATAGTACATGATAGAAGGGGTATTCGAGGGGTTTTACTCCTAAAACTTGGTGGACAAATAACATTGTACGAGTAGGACTCAGACTTTTTGACTTGGGGATGAAGTAAAAGCTTCTAGATGCTTTTATAAGGGCTTGGGCTGAGCAGTGATCCGACGGTGGCACCCACTGTCGTCCTTCGTCTTCTTGGACTGGGTTGCTTATGGACCAAACAACTTATCCTGCAAATTCGCTTGTGACTTGATCAGGTTGGGCCAACAGCAGTTGGACCCGTCTTAAGGTCATCATCGATTTCTTTTATGGTTAATGTTGAGTTTTCTCATGTGAGCTCTTCTTGAGCTCCAAGTAAGATTTCTAGTACGCTTCCCCTTCGTTGGGCTTCGTCTAATAGGTTAAAAACTCCTTAATCTTTTAAAAAAAGTTTTTTACTGATGCTCCGTAATTATCCAAACATCGATCCAAATCAATATAGATTGTATTCTACCTTGAAAAGCACTAAGACATACCAAAATGGCATAAAATATACAAAAACATAAGCTAAGTCTAATAATAACTCAGTTGACAAATAATTATAATATTCATATGAAATCAAGTAAAAACTTCTAAATATGCATTGATAGAAAATGAAAGTGTATCAAATATGATAGTGATAAACACTAGAATTTGAGTGTTATTAGACATCTACAAAAGTGATCCACATGACACCACCTACCCCATCTCTAAAGTCGACATGTACAAAACTGAGCGGATGAACTTAATCATGGCCCACACTAACTCAAAATATTAGTGTTTGGTGAGTTGATTGGATTTGATGCGGGTTACGGATGGGTAGGGTGGATGATGGTGGTTTTGATGAATTTGAATACAAGTATGAATAACTAAACATGAATCAAAATGAATCCATAACAAAACATCAATTTTATTGAAAAACAAAGATAGTTTGAGGAAACTCTTAACAAACCGTATAATAAGTTTAGTTGAAAAGTAGTAATGAGAGGAAATTGAATATGGAATTGGAAACAAAGATTAATTACGATATGCATTGCTTAAATTTTGTGGGAAAACATTGGTGGTTGGCAATTAAAATCAAACGATCAAATTTTGGAAAGAAATAGAAAGGGAATTGTGGAAATTAAGAATCCATTTGGGGAGGGATTTTAGGGATCTAGTGTTGATTATGGGTAGGTGACGAATTTGATGGGTTCAACCCACACCCATTCATATTTTTATTTGTCAGACTAGAAGCAACACACATAAGCCCACAATACCAATCCATTCTATGATGGGTCAGGTTTTAGCGGGTAGATTTGGGTGGGTTTGATGGGTGATCCACCAATGCCAATCAGGCCCGGCCCAGGCCCTGTGCTGATCAGACCCACAGCACAGGGCCTCAACTTCTTGGGGCCTCATATATAATCCATAAGTCCTGATGGAGAGTCAACCATGGGCCGCTTGGGCTGGCGAGGCCCACCACGACTCATTGGTCCGTAGGCAGAGTCAGCGAGGCCCACCATGACCCACGTAAAAACCATATGCATAAATGACAACAATTAACAGAGTAGAGAATCGAGCCATGGACCTCTATGTCATTAGAGAGTGATTTAACTATTGAGATGGGAGTTATTTGATGAATTTAGGCTAACAGTAATACAATTTAAAGCCTTTCTTCTTCTCTTTCCCCAATTTTCCCCAACTTTCCATAACCATTCAAGGCCTAAATATTAATTATTCACCCTCAATTCTAATTAACTCCTAATCAATGTTCATCCCAATTATCCACGCTCCTATCAACTTGTTTTAAATTCTAACCTTTTTTCCTTTTCTTTTACCGGGAACTTAATATTGATTGGAAATTTGGAATCATTAAGCTTTGGTTATAACTTTTAATTATGCCAACCCAAAAATTCGAAAAAGGTAGTTCTAAGCGTAAAAGAAAACAGAGAATTGTGGAGCCTAGGTGGATACTAATAGCCGATCTTGATGGCGATTTGAAAATTAGAAGTGAAGCTAAATCTTTGGCACAAAATGAACTTCGTGATTATGAGTTTATTGTTTCATTAGTTATTTGGTATGAAATATTGCACAAAAACGAATTATGTTAGTAAACATTTACAATCTAAAGATATGCTTGTTGATGATGCTATTTTAGAAATAGATGGATTGATTTCATTTTTTAAAAGATATAGAGAAGATGGAAGGGCTAATCGAGGATTTTATCTCAAATAATGCTAGACGATTGTTACTTTATGAACAAAGATAGATAATATTATTACTTTAGTAATCGTTTTTTGAACTTATGTAATTATTATTATTATTTAATAATTTTTAGTTTTAATAAATTTGTGAGAAAAAAATATTTGGGCCACATTTTAAATTCTCGAACAGGGCCTCCGAATATCATGGGACGTCCCTGATGCCAATCCCTAACTAGAGTAATCTGTTTCGATTGTGGTTGGTTAGCATTCAAATATTCCGGGTAATTAGGATAAATTGTTACAAACTTTTGCACTTATTAAAAAATAATCACAAACATTTAATTGTACCAAAGTAGTCATTTCGTCCAAAATTCTATTAAATTTGATCCAGATGTCTTGTGAGCTTCTTTGTCATGCAAAATTAATAAAAATAAAAATAAACAAACCCAAAACCAATTTAAACCCCAAACCAACCCATCCCCATTCTCTCTCTCCTCTCCCTCTTCGTCACCCTCCGCCAAAAACTCCCTGCCGTCCCACTCGTCGAACTGCAGCCGTCGGCCAACTTTATTCCTTCCTTCTTTCCTTTTCCTCCAGAGTCCAGTCCCACCCGGCCACCCCTACTTCCACAGTTCCACTCACCGACGTTTTCTGATAAAAAATAATCAAATTCCATTATTCCAATGTCGCGCTTGGTTCGTTACTGCCGTGGCCTCCCGCGATTCCCAAACCCTCCTCCAGTGAAACCCCAACTTCTAGCTCTCAATCTTTCAACCACCTCTTCCACTGCGGAGAATGTAACTCCGGCTGATCGACTGGCGGGGCCGCCTCCAATTCGAGTTGATCTCACAGAGTCAGCCGGCCGAGGCGTGTTCGCCAGTCGGAGGATCGGCGCCGGAGAGCTCATCCACACGGCCAAGCCTGTCCTGTGTCACCCCTCCCTCTCTTCTATTAGTGCTGCCTGCTATTTTTGTTTAAAAAAGGTCATTTCTGAAGGCCAATCCCCTACGTTCTGTAGTCGGAAGTGCGAGGACAGCGCGAAGGTGATTTCAATGGCGTGTGTCCAGACTGCACGCCACGTGTTCGATGGAATTACGCAAAGGTTTCTGGCAGTTGTCGAGTTCTAATTTCTTGTACTCTTTAGGTGTTTTATGATGTCGAGAAGAAAGCTGATTGGTCGGAGTTTGATGCTTATTGCCGGTAAGATAGATTCAGCTTGGCTGTGCTTTATATTCCGAAAGCATTTTCTCAGCAGCATATGTTGGATTTCTGGCCGGGCCTAGCTATCTGTTTCCACTAGTTAAGGAAAATGCTGATGTGACTTAATCTTGTTAGAAGCTTGCCAGCATTATAAAAAATCGAATCTTGCTTTCCGCGGATGCAAACCTTTATGATTTCTTTCAATTCTGAAGGTCCCAAGGTCTGAAGTATCCACAGATGGTGAAGCGGTTAGCTTGTCAGGTTATATCAGGAGCTGCATCTGCTGAACTTCTTGACATACTTCAACCTGCTTCCGTTTCGGCAGAGATGGCCTTGATGGTAAGTTTGTACAGTTTTTAGATGGAGTCTTACTGATATGTTTTTTTTTTTTTTTTTGTGTGTGTGCGGAAACTAGAGATAGAATTATATGTAACTGAACTTAGGGGGTTATTGTTGAAGGAATTATTAGTTAGTATATATAAGAGAGGTGACATTGTTTGTAACTTCCAAGTTAAAGCATCGTTGAAATGAGCAACTGATTTCATCTGGGGGAATCAAATTGAATATCTATTTATACTTTAGTTGCAGTTTTATTTGTGACTACAACTGGGAAAATGAAGACTAACTTGCTTCTCTTTAGCAGTCTCGCTTCTCTACTTGCTGTCAAGGCAGTTGTCAAAGTAGTTTACCTTTGTAGGATCGTCGCTGGTAGCAATAGAATCTTTTTGGCACTAGTTATAAGTTAACTCATACAATTAAAAGTCCATAGGTGTTACTTTCAAGATAAAATGTGAATTTGAAAATGCTTATGGTGATGCATATTGGTTTTTCTCTCTTATTGCCTTAATTGCTGCATGATGACCATTCTGCAAGTTTCGAATTTTAACAGATGGAGGAGGGATATGGTTCATTGAGGAGGGCCCTTTCTGCAGCAAACATTCCAGATGGAAAGACCACATGTATCCTCCTACTAGCAGAGATTTGTGATTACATGAATGTCAGCCTTATGATTTTTTATACTTGATTGAGGTGTTTTATTTGACAATATAAGTTCTATCCAGAGAGTGGTATTATGGGGTGCTGGCACGTATTCGCATCAATGCATTCCGCATCGAGTTAGCTCTTAGTTCATATGAAGATCTTCTCTCATCTGCTGCTGCGTGTGTAGAAGCTGAAGCTGCTGTGGGGAATGCTGTTTATATGCTTCCCTCCTTCTACAACCATGACTGTGGTAAGCTTTTTGTTTGTATTGAAAGAATATGTGCTATACCGTTCTTTATACTCATATGCATGAGAGACTAATGTATTGCCTGGAGAAATGCAGATGAGATAGATATATGATGTATAGAGTTGTTTAGGTAATTCCTGATAACTGATGAAATGATCAGAGCATTAGCATATTTTTACTCCTAGGTCATATATATAGTGTAGCTGATTCTTTATGTTGATATACCTGTGCTGAGTAGTGATATGTACGCAGGGTGATGTTACCTCTACCACCAGCTGGCTGGGTACATATATTTGTATTGACTGCATTGAATCCTACAACACTCAGTTGACTCTTCTGTAATGCAGATCCAAATGCACACATTGTATGGATAGAGAACGCAGATGCGAAATTGAAGGCCCTTCGTGATATCGAGGCAGGTAAAGGAAATTTCTGAGCCAGGTCACCATTCTTAGAAAATACACATACTTTTACTTTGTGTTTTCTCCCTATTAGAAAGTGCAGTCTCAATTCAAAGACACATTGTATATGTTCAACAATGGCCTCATCGACTGACCATCTTTCAATGGCTTTGCAGATGAAGAGTTAAGAATCTGCTACATAGATGCGAGTTTGGATCATGATGCTCGGCAGACTGTGTTGCTCCAAGGTTTCGGTTTTAAGTGCAATTGCCCTCGATGTCTGTCCGGGGATTAAATAAAGTTCCAGTCATTATGGTGCCTTGTTTCTGTGGTTGAACTTGTACTGGTAATAAAACTCCAGAATCCGATCTAGCGTTACAGCTTTTGCTGGTTTCCTTCATACTCCATGATTTGACTAATTCTGACAAGGTGACAAAACACAGTAGTATGTCATCAAGCTTGTGGGTCTTCATCCCTTAGCTTTTGTTGCGTGTCTTTCGGAGGTCGAATCCAGATCTATTGCTAAACTTTTCAGGACTACTGGCATACTGCCTAGTGGTTTGGTCAATGACTCCACCAGTAAACATAACATGAAGTCCAATTTGGTTCTAGACACAGTAGTTCTGAGTTTAGCAGTTTTCTGACGAGGCCTCCTGTTTAGCAGTTTTCGAACAACAAAGTCCAGCGGAACCTTTGAGAAATTTGTTCATACTAGTCAATGATTGATGCATCTACAATTCCTGATTAGTACAGAAGATATGAATTGGAAAATGATGGTTATTCCATTGTTAGCACTTGCAATGTATGTGCAAGTGCACAATGTTCATTCTTTAAGTGTTGGCGTTTAAGTGTTTAACTGACGAGGAAGGAATGTGGTTCCTTGATCGGTGACTTTTCTGATTGAAATGTTTCCTGTATATTGGCGGAATGTTTCCTTCCTTTTCTTTTCTTTTCTATTCTTCTCATTTTTTCGTACCAAGTTGTGTTTATAATGCAAAACCGCGTGCTTGGGGTGTTTAGCCCTCTCTACATATTATTCGATTAGTCACCAGTATGAGTCTCACAAACTCTCAGCCTAATTCCATCTCCTCAGGAAAAGAAATCAAGGGGGTGCAAATTGGTGGAATGTTTCGGTTATTTTCTAGTTTCTTCTTGGCCTAAAAGAAATGGCCAGGCTTTCTGCTCATGTTTTCGATATAAAAGTCGTGTTAGAAGATCCATTAGCTGGTCCTAATTTGAAACTTCAGTTTCCCTCCTCGAAAATGGTAAGCACCTAAATATGGGTCTTCTTACTCACGTATCGATCGAGCTCTGGTTTCTACTTCTTTTGATCTCTTATTTCCCGACTGCACCCTGTCAGCTCTTGAGCGGGTGGTCTCTGATCATAACCCTCTTTTCATTTGTTGGGATGCTTATAAAAAGATTCATAGCCCTTGGAAATTCGAAAACATGTGGTTTCGGGATGAGAGGTTTCTTCCAAGCATTATGGAGTGGAGTAGCCTTACAGTTATTGGTAGCGGTCAGGTCTTCTTATGGTCTAAGAAACTTCAACAGCTCAAGGGTTGCATTAAAACTTGGAACAAAGAGGTTTTTGGTAACATCAACATGAGAATTGAGGAGTTATTGGAGAAGATTAAGAATATGGATGTTGTCGAAGAATATAGATTGCTTACTGAAGAAGAGAAGTCTCGGAAAGAGGAGTGGAAAACTGACCTTGTTAAGGCTCTTGATATGCAAGAAATCTCTTGGCGGCAAAAATTCCGTGAGCTGTGGCTCACCAGAGGTGATAGTAATACCAAGTTACCAACTACTTTCACCGGACTGCGAACTACAGGAGAAAGATAAATTTTATCGATAGTATCATGATTAATGGTACTCCTACTGAAGGAGGGACTGCTCTTGTTGAGGGAATCGTTGGATTTTTTTCAAGACTTGCTTAGAGAGCAGATCGAGACTAGACCTTTCCCCAAAAAGATTTTCTGGTGTTGGCATGGATAACGGTGTGGGTGCTCTCCTCTCTCGCGCCTTCACCGAGCAGGAAGTGTGGGCGGCTATCTCTGCTAGCGACGGAAGCAAAGCTCCGGGTCCGGATGGATTCACCTTCGAATTCTATAAGAAGTGCTAGCAATTTCTTAAAAATGATATTATGGGCGCCTTTCATGAATTCATTGTTCAGGGGTCCTTCCTAAACGTGCTACTCATTCCTTTATCTGTTGTCCTAAGAAGGATTCTGTGGCAGATATCCGGGATCTTAGACCTATCAGTTTGCTTAGCAGCTTCAACAAGCTTGTGAGTAAGGTTCTCATGAGGAGAATGCAAGGCATTTTGCCTAACCTTGTCAGTCCTAATCAACATGCATCGATTCTTGGTAGGTAAATTTGTGAAGCCGGTTTGATTGCTAATGAGTTGGTGGACAGCATAAGGAAAAGTAAGAAACCCGGGCTCATGTTCAAGTTGGACTTGGATAAAGCTTTTGACAATGTAAGCTGGAGCTGCTTGATTAAAACTCTCTCGAGGCATGGTTTTCCTAGAATTTGGCAGAAGTGGATTCGTGGTACCATGTGCTCGCCTTGGTTTTCGATTCTTGTGAATGGTGAGGCAAAAGGTTTCTTCTCCTCTTCTAAAGGCCTCCGCCAAGGTGACTCCCTTTCTCCCGGACTATTCGTTTTGGTTATGGACATTCTCTCTTCCCTTCTTGCTTCTCTGAGATCTTCTGGAAAAATTCGGGGATTCTTCATGAACGAGGAGCATGCCTTGGGAGAAGTGACTCATCTCCTATTCGCGGACGATGTGTTGTTATTCTGTGACCCCTCCCATGAGCAGGTTTTAAACCTTTTGGCTACTCTGGTTTGTTTCCAGGCCATTTCTGGGCTTAAAATCAACCTGGAAAAGTCGACAATGTTTGTCATTGGGGATGTCCCCGAGCCTAGATTCTATGTGGATATCGTCGGCTGTAAATGGAGTTCTGAGCCTTCTAAGTATCTTGGCCTTCCCTTGGGAGCAAGGCCTAATGCTGTTGCAGTATGGGACCTGGTTATCTCTAGAGTCCAGCAACGCCTCGACGGTTGGAAAACTGTCTCTTGTCTTTGGGAGGGCGGCTTACTTTGATTCGTTCTACCCTTTCTTGCCAGCCGGCCTACAATATGTCCCTCCTCCACGCCCCAACCATTGTTATCCAGAGCCTTGAAAAGCTTCAGAGAAGGTTTCTGTGGAATGATTTGGAGCAGAAGAACATTCATCTTGTGAAATGGGAGCTTTGTAAGATTCCTAAACAAAAGGGTGGCCTTGGCATTCTGGACCTTGAGAAGTTTAATAAGACTCGTTTGGGCAACTGGATCTGGAAATTCGCCACCGAGCATGGGTGTTGGTGGCGCAATCTTATTGCCTCAAAATATCCCAACCCCTGTTCTGTTTGGCATACAGGGATGCTTCGTGGAGGTTTTTCTAGCTCGGTTTGGGCTAACATCACTAAGGTTCATAGAGATGTGTGGAATCTTGCTTATGTTGAGCCAGGTGGTGGTGCTTGGTTCTCTTTTTGGCACGACAATTGAATTCCGGGTCAGCTTCTCGCAGAGTCATTTCCCCGCATTGCTGCCGCTGCTGTGAACCCTGAAGCCTAGATTTATGATCTTTCTACGGTTAGCGGTGAGTATACTACTTGGAATATTTCTTTGTCTATTAATTTGAGCGGGGCGGGGGCGGGGGGGGGGGGGGGGCTAAGAATGAGAGGATTTCCTTTTTTTAATAAATTGAGGGATGAGGGCAGTAGGGTGCTAAGTTCTGGCCCTTGCAGGGTTGTTTGGGGTCCAAATCCAGAGTCTGCCTTTTCTATTAACTCTTTTTACAGGTCCTTAGTGGCTAATCAATTCCCTGGTGTTGGCGAATTTCCTAAGAAAACTATTTGGAGGAGTTTCATCCCGTCGAAGATCTGCAGCTTTCTTTGGCCTTGTTTTCATAAAGCCATTTTGACTATGGATAATCTCAAGAAGAGGGGGTTTTATCTTGCCAACATGTGTGTGCTTTGCAAAAGAGAAGAGGAATCCATTCGCCATATTTTTGTTGATTGCAGCTACACATACACCATTTGGAGAGGTGTAGAATCCATCTGTGTGGCAAGTGTTGCATCCCGGCGGGTGATCTTAATACGGTTGTCAGACATTGGCCTTCCCGCTCTTCTGATAATGTTTGTGAGTGATTCCGGGCCTGTATTCTGCATGTTGTGTGTTGGCATGTCTGGATCGAGAGAAACAACCACATCTTCCGGGACACTAGTTGCTCGTCTAATGGAGTGCTGCGAAAATCGAAAAGAAATAGCATTGAGTGGCTCATTGCTCATGGAAAGATTGAGAGGAACCTGGGGTTAGAGTGGCTGAACAATAGTCATATCTAATTCTTCGAGCGGTATTTGGTGCGATCTTTTTCCCGCTGCTGTGCGGCTGGCCCTTCTGTTTGTTTGGGTTTTTTGTTTTCAGGCTGTTGGAATCCTTGTTTGCGCTGTCCCCCTGGTCTGTTTGCTGGTTGATTGGCGCAATGTTTTTTTTAGCTTTTACGTGCAGGGGAGGTTTGGTCCTCCTAGCACTGGTGTTGTCTTTCTCCTTCTTATTTCCTTTTTGGTGGCCTCGTTTTTCTTGGCGGATTGGTTCTGCTTTTGTCTATTTGCCCTTCTTGTATTTTTTGTTCTTCGTGTTTCTTTTGCTTTGCTTGTGATCACTTCTCGTGGTCCTTGTTTGGTTTGTTTTGTATCAGGTTTGAACCTTTTTCTTTTTTCATTAATCTTATCATCACCATTATAAAAAAATGCTCTTTTTATGTGGGTAAATTGCAAGGTTGGTCACTGTGATTATTAAAAACGTTCATGTTTGGTCACTACAAATATTTAATTCTATTCATGATCACTAAGTTTACTAAAATAAGTCATGTTTGGTCACTCTCCGTTAGTTTCCGTTAACTGCGTCAATTTTTTGCTGATGTGGCAAACAAAAATGTCCAGTCATCCATTTTTAACCCAAAATACTTAAAACCCGACCCGCCACATCATGAAACCCACCATGTCATCTTGATCCAACCCAACCCATGACCCGACCTGACCCGCCCGAACTTTAAAAAAAAAAACATTACAACCATAGAGCTGGCTTTTCGCGTGCAGGCCACCCAAACCATCGCCGGCCCCACATTCTAAAATACCTAGAACCACCGTTGTCTCCGCCAAAATCCTCCGACCCGACGACATCACCCGAACTGACTGGGTCATCCAGGAATCTAGCCTCCGCATCCCTCAGTCCGTCTAGGAAGACTTCAACTAGCACAGGAATCTCAGATCCATCTCCGCCGTCATCCCATAGGAGCTCTCGAACTAGATCCCATAACCCACTGATTGAAACAACCCGCAACGGCAGGCTGATTTCATACTGTTACAAAAGTTGTTGGGTGTGCGGGTGGATGCCTGGAGAGGAGATTCACATATATGGAATTAATTTTTAGATGGAGCAGTGAAGGACAGAGTCAAAGTATTAGACGGAAATGTACAACTATAAATTTGTGGGAAGAGATGGAACTAGATTCGGGATGCAGAACAGAAAGAAGAGGCACTCATACCCAAAACTGTCGACGAAGGAGTTTGAGGTAGAACTCAAAATAAAACACGAATCAGAAACCCAAAACCCAGAAATTGAAACCCCAAAACCCAAAAATTGAAACCCTAAAAACCCAGATCGAGATGGTTTCGTTGATTGCGGCAAAGACGATGGATGTTGGGGTTCGCCTAGGTTGATTACACTGGCGATCTACTTCGGTTCGCCTTGGTCGCCGTCGGAAGAAGAAGAAAAGTAAATCCCATAACCCGCCTTGGTTGGCCTTGGTTGATTGTAGTGACGATCTCTTGGGTTCCCCTAGTCGTCGTCGGTAGAAGAAGAAAAGTTGGGTTCGTCTGGGTTCCCCACATGTTCTTCTTCATAAATGCATTTAATGCTGCTTTCAATTTAATGGGGAATGTATTGGAGAGGTGCAAGCAGTTTAATGATCCATCGTCGCCGTTCTCCCGGGTTGAACAATTGGGTCGGTTCATGTGTTTGGTTAAAACGTTGGGTTAGTCAAGATGACGTGGCGGGTTTAATGATGTGGCGGGTTGGGTTTTAAGTTTTTTGGATTAAAAATGGGTGACTGTACATTTCTGTTAGCCACGTGAGCAAAAATTTGACGTCCTTAATGGAGGCTAACAGAGACTAACGGAGAGTGACCAAACATGACATGTTTTAGTAAACTTAATGATCAAGAATGGAATTAAATATTTGTAGTGACCAAACATGAACGTTTTTAATAATTCTATTGAACAACCTTGCAATTTACCCCTTTTTATGTCTACTTACCTGTTATTGGAAATCAAGAAAATATGACAAAGGAAGTGACTCGCTCTTACCGTCACTCTAGAAAATGGCCAAGTGTAACCACCTCCTAAAGCGTAGTATAGCGGGTTTGGGTTTTAATGTCAACCCGGGTCCTAGATGTGATGACTACTCCGTGAGTTCTTATTATTTAGCGGTGAAACTTTAGTGAAGATCCAAACAAGCAAACAAGCAAAGCAAGTAAAAAGGTTGTTTTCAAGTCGAGAAAGGTCACCCGGATATAGTTCTCCCTAGACTGCAGTTAAGCCGGATTGTAATTTACCAAGTTCAATTTCAATGATAGTTATACTGCGGGAGGTTCTTAAACAGTCTGAAGTCTCGACTAAAGGTCTCCAGACCCTCTCAATCTGAGTCTCCAGCGAGCGACTAACCTCCACCGGAGTAAACAGATTGAGAGGCCCTAACGAACCAAACCTCCACTACCGAAGTGAATTCGGTACAGAATAGTGAATTGACTTCTCGACTAAAGTCGTCAATTCACTACTTTCAATCAAGGGTGCTCTATCAACCTAGGCGGATATTCTCTTTCTAGGTTAAAGCAGAAACAACAGGAATTTGATCAGGATTCATGCCATTCAATAAATCAAACCTCAATTGAATATAATCATATTACAGAATCTGTACTTGGGTTCATACAATCAGACCTAACATAAAAATCTAGGGTTCTTCATAGCCAGGTGAATAAGGAAGTTACTCCTTAGAGAGATGGAAAATCTAGCTCAGATGCGGAAACCATACTGCGAAGGATGGGAATATGCTTCTGGCACTCAATCAGGTCTTCTCCAAGCTCAAGCCGGGCTCCAATGGTGATGGAGATCAATCTATGACACTCGTAGGATCAGTTTCGTCACTTTCTCTCTCTAGGTATCGCTCTTTCTCTCTAAAACTCGGAACTTCCACTCCTTTTGCTGGAAATTGGGTTAAAACCCAGAAATTCACGACTCACACAGCAGGCCACACGGCCGTGTGACTTCCCCAGCTGCCCGTGTGAGCTTGCAAAACGTGGCGTTCTGTTAAGTGACTTCAGGCTTCCTACACGGCAAGACCCACACGACCGTGTGGATTTCCAGGATGCCCGTGTGAGTTCCCTGGAATTTCCACACAGCCACAAGGGGTCCCCTACACGACCCGTGTGAATTTGCCCGTGCAATTTGATGTCACACTTCCAGGTCACACGGCCGTGTAGGTTTTAGGCGTGCTCGTGTGGCTCCATCAGCTTCTCGCCAAATGTCCAATCTTCGTCCAATCGACCCCGAACTCATTCCCAAACCTTCATTCACGTACTAGGACTTGAAATATCACAAACAAGAACAACCTAGCGTGAAATCGGCCTAAAACGCGAGAATCGACATCTCAAACGGCTCAAGGATCGGGGTAAAAACATGTGTAATCAATGTTCTATCAAACTCCCCCACACTTAACCGTTTGCTTGTCCCCAAGCAAACCTAACTCAAACCAATGCAACTCTCCAGACCTCTATAGCAACCAACAACCCCGATCGTCGGTAGAGGATTTTCTACATCATATAGCAGCTTACGAGGTCAACTGGTCTTCTAAGATTTTCCCTATCTCTCTCAATGCGAGTACTAGACTCAAACTAGGATCATGAAAAGAAGTGGAAGTAAGACAGTCAGTTCATGGATAAAGGGACTCACACCATTCACAACCAAGGACTCGCGGTACCGGGGTGCTCTTTCACTTCATTTCACCGTTGGAACCCCTTTTTCACTTTCATTTTACTATTTTTTCTTTTGCATTCACTTAGCGGGGGTTCCAACTGCAGTCTTTTGCATGGTCGACCCTTATTAGTCAAGCAAGAGCAATTTCTGTACATCTGGCGCTCTCCAGAGTACTTCTTTTAACTCATTTTCCTCAACTCGTGTGAAGGGTCAATGAAATTAAGGTGGGTCGGAAGCTCTATCCGTGCCCTTAAAAACACATCCTCAAGTAGACAAACCGTTCAACGGGTGGAAGTTTTACTTGTACTAGAGACAGCTTAGCTTCACCTTGTAGGAGTACCCCACTAGGCAAACTCGATTTTGTGCAATGAACGGTGCCACACACGTTGGGCTTACCCCATGTTTAAGATTTAATGATTTTGATATGGAGGACCAACTGCATTTCATTTTTCACATGAGCACCCTGTTCGATACACGAATCCATAACACAATCCAAATAGAGTAACCATTATCACATGAATTCAACAGTTCTAGCTCCACTAATTCACAAAATCAACTGGCACAGCAGAGAGCTAGATAGGAAAAATCTTATACTTCAACATCCTCCATAGTGCTACACTACCTCCCTAGGTTGCACATTACTATAGAGGCTGTCAATTCAAAGCATACTGAGCATGCAATTTGCAAGGAAACACGTACTTGGAGCCCTCAAATTTAAAATTTTGGACAGTGGACTAGGCTCCAAGCACCAGTCTAAGTGAAGAGGACTGGAGAGGGGACCAGTCTGGGACAAAGCACAGCTAAAGGGAACAGAAGAACTCAAACACAATCCGTTAGGTCCAATGGTCAGCCCAATAACACATCATCCAAAACAAAAGAAAACAAACCAAAACTAAACCAGTTTACAATCCGACCCAAAACAAAAGAAATAAATGTAAACTGTGGTGGGGTTGCCTCCCCACAAGCGCTTCTTTACTGTCTTTTAGCTGGGCGCCCATGGCGGAACTAAGGGTCCGCGAGTTCCACTACCAACTCCGCACGTTCGATCTCGTCTCCCAAGTAGAGCTTGAGACGATGGCCATTTACTTTAAACGGTTCAGTCTGCGGGTTGGCAATCTCAATCGTGCCATATGGGAACACATGTGTGACCGTGAACGGTCCAGACCACCGGGAACGGAGTTTTCCGGGAAAGAGCTTCAGGCGAGAGTTATAAAGGAGAACTCGATCAACAACCTGGAACTCTTTCGGACCCTGCAACCGTGCATCGTGCAGGCGCTTAGTGCGCTCCTTGTACAGCTTGGTGTTCTCATAGGCGTGATAACGCCATTCCTCCAGCTCCAGCATCTACATTTTGCGCTCAACACCTGCAACACTAACATCCAAGTTGAGAAGCTTAAGGGCCCAAAAGGCCTTGTGCTCTAGCTCCACGGGCAAATGGCATGCCTTTCCATAGACAAGCCGGTACGGTGAGATACCAATGGGTGTCTTGTAGGCAGTGCGTTATGCCCAGAGAGCATCATCGAGCTTGGTGGACCAATCCATGCGGGATTGATCCACCGTCTTCTCCAGGATACGCTTGAGCTCCCGGTTCGTCAGCTTGGCCTGGCCACTTGTTTGAGGGTGATAGGCCACGGACACCTTATGAGTCACACCATAGAGAGACAATAACTTATCAAACTGGCCCTGGAAATGGGTGCCTCGATTGCTTATGATGGCTCTAGGTGTCCCAAACCGGGAGAATAGCTGCTTCAGAAAACCACAAACACGTCTAGCATCATGAGTGAGCAAAGCTTGCGCCTCAGCCCACCTAGAGACGTAGTCAACAGCAACCAGGATATAGGTATTGCCAAAAGATGGAGGGAAGGGGCCCATGAAGTTGATACCCCAGACATAAAAAAATCTCACAAGTTATAAACACATTATGGGGCATCTCATCACGGGTAGAGATGTTACCTGACCTCTGGCATCGGTCGCACTTGCGTGTGAAGGTGTCTGCATCCTTGAAGAGCGTAGCCCAGTAGAAGCCCGATTGTAGTACCTTCCTCGCTGTGCGGTTTCCTCCGTGGTGACCGCCAGTAGGTCCTTCATGACAGTGAGATAGAATGCCCTCCATCTCACTCTCCATAACACAACGACGGATGATCCCGTCGGCTCCGATCCTGAAGAGATGAGGGTCTTCCCAGAAGTAGTGCTTCAGGTCGGAGAAAAATTTCCTCTTGGCGTGAGTTGTCATCTCCTTGAGAAGCCGCTGGCCCACCAGATAGTTCTCCAAATCGGAGTACCACGGGGTGACACTCTCCACCAGGTACATCATCATCAATCTCTCATATGGGAAGGAGTCGTTGATCTCCTCCTGGAGGTTGTCCGCAGGAGGTGCGTCCAACCAGGAGAGGTGATCGGCTGCAACATTCTCCGCTCCCTTCTTGTCTCGAATCTTGATGTTGAACTCCTGCAGTAGTAAGATCCATCGTATGAGCCTGGGCTTGGCATCGGCCTTGCTCATCAGGTATCGAATCGCAAAGTGATCTGTATACACGGTCACATGGGACAAGACCAGATAAGGACGAAATTTGTCGAAGGCAAACACCACCGCGAGCAGCTCCTTCTCCGTGGTGGTGTAGTTATCCTGGGCATCATTCAGGGTCTTCGAGGCGTAGTAGATAGGTCGGAAGTGTTGATCTCGCCTCTGCCCCAAGACACCTCCAACAGCAAAGTCACTGGCATCGCACATCAGCTCAAATGGCAGGGACCAGTCAGGAACAACCATAATAGGAGCTTGAGTGAGCTTATCCTTCAAGGTCGTGAATGCCGCTGTGCATGCATCAGTGAACTGGAAGGGGGCATCCTTCTCAAGAAGCTTAGTCAGGGGTAGGGCGATCTTCGAAAAATC